CTTGAAAAGATAAAGTTTCTACATGCAGTTTGAATTTAAAGATTCAAACTGCATGTAGAAACTACACTTTTTCAAGATGTAATTGAGAAAACAAAAATTGTAATTAAGAATCGTAAGATGTAATTGAGAAAACAAAAGTTGTAATTAAGAAACGTAAGATGTAATTGAGAAAACGTAAGTTTTAATTAAGAAACATAAGATGTAATTTAGAAAACGAAAATTGTATTTAAGAATCGTAACATGTAATTGAGAAAATGTAATATAAAATGACGCACTTAAAAATGACGCAAGAGTTGTAGCATAAATTTAATTTTTTAGGGAAAATTTATAATTCAATTAAAAATTATAATTAAAAATTATATAATTAAAAATCACTTCATTGATCATTTAAGCACCAACTTGTACGTCTTCCATATTTAAAATAGTTGCATAGTGCGTGGTTGTGTGTTGTACCGCACGTGCACAATCTCCTCCCATTATAGTATTTTTCGCCTCAATTACAATTCGTTCTAAGTACTGCATGCGCTGTTCCGCAATCCCGTCACCTAATACAGGTGGAATGCGAATTGCATTTTTAACGTTACTTTTAATTTTGGACCAGATCGTTTCCACCGGGTTCAACATTGGACTGTAAGGTCCCAAACGTAACAACTGAGCTGGTGAATTATCAAACATCCTTTGCAAACGAGCGTGACAAGGAGCATTATCTGTTACGACGACCAAATCCTCCAAACGATTCCCGGATGTAACCCACTGGTGAAACATAGCCAACATCCACTCATTACAGGAATCTGCTTTAAATGATCCCCTGCAAGTTTCTATCATGACAACATTTGTAGTTGAAATAGCTGCGATCAAGTGTATGTTTAAACCTTTTGAAGCAGGTACTTTCATAATTGCTCTTTTTCCTTGTCTCGCGCGTCCTTGCGTTTTTCTACAAAAAAGGTTAAAATTTGTTTTATCCAACCAAACTATCTGACGACCATTTGTGATATGTTCGTTGATGTTTCTAACATATTCAGCTCTTTTTTGTTTGTTTTCATAACTGTTCATTGTAGAAGGCACCTTGTGCACTTTTTTTTAATGAGAACAATCTGCCTTCGAGGTAATTTGCTATTGTTGTTGTGCTAACGTTTATGTTAAATTGTCTTAATATCTTTGTTTTGATGGCCACCAATGTTAATTGACAATCATTTTCAATCCATGTTAATGTTTCTTCGATTTGATCTTTGGTCAACTATTTCGGTTTAAAACCTCCTTTTCCGATGAAATTTGAATTTCCGCTGCGAACCCAATTGTATGCTGTCTTATATTTGATACCTAGCGTTTGCGAGAGATTCACCCAATCTTCAAATCGCTCCGCACATTCAACAACTCTTCTCCTGTCATTTGGAGAAGATAAAACGTAACGTTTCCTCTCAACTTGTTCAGTTGTGTGTATTTCATGCCGACAAATCGGACAACTTGAATCCGGTTGTTCCAGAACTGGACGTAAACAAATTTGGTGACATAAATGTTGACACGGATTTAGCTTAATCACAGACTTTCGGGTCATAGTGTATTGGCATATAACACAACGATCTTTCAATTCCATTATTATTACTTGTGCATACAAAAGCAAAATTTAAGATTATAACTTAAATTCATGTCCAAAAAGACCTTTTGTAACAACCTACAAACTTAGACTGTGAATTTGCTATTTTAATTTATGTGTTCTCAATTACAAGTTACGATTTCTCAATTACATATTATGATTTCTCAATTATATCTTACGTTTTCTCAATTACACGTTGTGTTTCTTAATTACATGTTACGACTTCTTATTTACATGTTGTGTTTCTCAATTACATATAACGTTTTCTCAATTACATGTTGTGCTTCTTAATTACATATTACGACTTCTTAATTACAACTTTCATGTTCTCATTTACATCTTGAAAAGGTGTAGAGCGCGACGGTTATTCGTTTATCAAATATCGATGTACAAATAATCGTTAGAGAATATTCGATTAAACTATTCGTTAAACAATATTCGTAAAAACTAATTGTTTAAATTATTCGTAGGATACGAATATATTCGTAAACTAATAAATAATAACCGTTTAGCAAATATATATTCGTCGAAAAAATAAACTGGAACGAATATATATTGGTTAACTTTTATTCGCTAAACGAATTATTAGTTGTTCAACGAACATTATTTGTTTATATAATATTATTTGTTAAGCGAATTTTATTTGCTAAAAAAATATTTATTTCAAACAAATATATAAAATAAACACAATTTGTATTTTACAAATATATTATTAAATTTTATTTTTTAATATTTGAAAATTTTAAATAAACATTTCAATATTGCGAGTTAGACTCTTTAAGGAAATTTCAGAGTTATGTTATACCAACAACCTGCAGGTCACGATTCATTTACGAAACTGCCACTGGCATACGCTGGTGGCGTACAAGTTTAATATAAAAGTACAAGTGGTAAAAAAACGGAATATAAACACAAGGACGTACAATCATTCGCGTCTTTTAAAAATTTAAAAGACATTTTATCATTTCAGGGCCGACGACACGGATTTCAAAATGAGGGGCATACTTCCTCATTTCTAAAAAAATTGTCAATTTTCTGAGTCCATTTCTAAAAAAAAAAAAGGGTCCTGAAAAATAAAAGTGCAGAGATTAGTGCCCCCTGGCCTCTCTGGTGTCGTCGGTCCTGCATTTAAGATATAATAGATTCTTTTATATCTATGCAAACGTAAATGAAGATTATATTTAAAAAAGATAAACTTCTTTTTATATAAATTTTAAGTAAAAATCTTTAATGACTTAAAAACGTAACTTTTTATGTCAAAGTTTTATGGTTAAAAAAAAATACACATGTCGTTTTAATTTTCATATTTCTTTAATTTAAACGTTACAGAGGCTGTTATGCCCACACTTCCCCTAAGCGAAATCAAGAAAACTGTTTTACCGACGCATGCTGTGTTTTTTTTTTGCCATATTAGACAACATTTTTCAAAAGGAAGTGTTGAAAAACGGTTATGCCCCCTACTTCACCTAATTGTTAAATTATTTATTGTTATTTATCTTTTAACTACGAAATTAACCACAATTTGTTGTAATTATCACAATTTATTGCTGTCACTTTACTTTATAAAACAAGTAAGGAAACATTATTTATAAGTTTTTTTCTAATTAATAAGTAATGTTTTTCTACTTATTATATGAAGACTCCACGGGGAGAAACGGCAGGGTCACATTTTTTCATTTTGCGATAAATCATTTTTAAACTTTTAAACCTATATAACTTTTTTATTTTTAAGGAAAGGATTAAAATTTTTAAGATTTATTACAAAAAGAATTAATTTTTTATGCAATTAAAGTTGTACTTTTAATTTAAATATAATAACTTACGTTATAGGCTTTCTTTTTTAAGTGAGGTTTTTTATGGACTCTGACGTTTTTTCCCCGGTAAAATATCTTTTTTTATTTAAAGAAAAAACATATTAAAGATTATAAATTTGTCAAGAAACATTAAGAAAAAAAACAATTAAAAACAAAATTTAAATAGAAAAAGAAGTCTATTTACTCTTCATCTTCAGAATCAATATTTTCATGTAATGTCTCGATAAACCTCCTGATTGTATGGCAAAGAATTGTAAACCTGAGCATTGGAGGTAAACCTTTTTAATACTTGTAAATCTCTGTACTTTGCCATAAATCTCTGTACTTTGCCATAGAGAAATCTCTAAATCTGTATATCTCTGTACTTTACCATAGAGATGCAAAGTTTTGCATTATGCAGAATGGGGGATTACTATTTATAGTGTTCTTCCTATTATTTTTTAAATTAGTTTTCAACAATAATCCATTCCACGAATCACGATGAAATACAATGCCACTTGAGTCTTCTCTGAAACAAATTTCACAAAGAGGACAAGTTGGAATTGGACATTTATTCTTATAAAATGGTCTCATAAAATCAGTTATACTT